TGTCCTTATAGGTGCATACGTCAAAGCTGTATTTCACAACCCAAAGGAATGAGGAGAGATTCTTTCCACAGGACACAGACAATCCATTGGAATGTCTCTCAGCCTTCAGGTTCTGAGCTAGGTGGGTGAGGAAGTTATCTTAAAGAGTAGACCTTCCCTATACATCTCACCAGACCCCAGAGTTGGCTGTTTCATTTCCCACAAGCAAGCCAACTCAGTGAGGGTGACTAGGCAGCTGCCAAATTCCAACTGTGGGTTTCTGCCTCAGAATAGAGAAAAGCCCTGGGTTTTCTGGATCCCTTCATTGTCACCACCCTTTTGAGTGGCTATCACCAAAGCCCTTTTCATGAGTTAGCCTGACTTTAAGCAACACAACCCCAAGAAATGAAATAAAGGCTAACATCTTAATTCCAACCCCATGGCATGATGTTCAGTGGCCCGTCTTATCTGCTGTCACAGACTAGGAAGGGGATCTTCACAACTAGGAACATCCATGAGCACCTCATATTACTGGCAAATACAACTAGTTCCTGAGTTCTGGGAGCTCCAGAGGACCAGTAATGATGCTACCCCTGAACTGGTCCTGTGTTGTTGTAGAAACTCCTTCACCTACTCCCAGCTTAAAGGTAAAAAACAACAACAACAAAAGATTTCAAACAATAAAATAATTTAAATTCTCATTAAGTTGGGGATACTGCCTTACAGTCTCATTAAGGCCATACAATCTTGGGGTCTTTGAATCATCTGGCCTGGTAACTTTCTAACTGCCATGTGAAATTCTAGAATTTGGTTAATGGGGTCTTCAGAGACAATTGTGTTGGTCAAGAAGGACCAATTGTGTTGGTCAGATAAGGACACTAAGAGGTTGGAAACTTACTCCAGGGCACAGACAGACTCTTACTCAATACTGTACTGGATGTCCTAGCCAGAGTAATAAAACAAGAAAGGATACATTCCTACAGAATAAGAGCCATGACACAAATAGATATACACACACCCACGTTCATCAGCAGTATTCACAATACAACAAGATAAAGACAGCCTTAAGGAGCTCAGGTAGCATAGTGGTTACGAATCGGGCTGTGAACCTTAAGGTCAGCAGTTTGAAACTACCAGCTGTTCCTCGGGAGAAAGATGAGGCCTTCTGCTCCCGTAAACATTTACAGCCTCAGAAACCCAGTACAGGGTCGCTATGGGTCAGAATCAACTCAACAGCACTTAACAACAGTTCATCAATGAATGTATGGATAAACACACTATGGTACATACACACAATGAAATACTATGCAATGCTAAAGAACAAAGATGAATCTGTGAAACCTCTCACAACATGGGTGAACCTGAGGGACATTATGCTGAATGAAATGAGTCAATCCCAAAAGAACAAATACTGCATTAGACCACTATTATAAAAAGTCAAGGAAAGGAATGTGTTCACTGCAGGCTAACTGGTGGTGATATGCTATGGAGTTGTTTTGACTCATAGCGACCCTGTACAGGGTTTCTGAGGCTGTAAATCTTTATGGATGCAGAAAGCCTCATCTTTCTCCCATGGAACAGCTGGTAGTTTCAAACTGCTGACCTTGAGGCCTGCAGCCTGATTTGTAACCACTATGCTACCAGAGCTCCTTGTAGGTTGAGTGGAAGGTTGGAAATTTGAGCCAGTCCAGAGATACCTCAGAAGAAAGATCTGGTGACCTACATCCAAAAAACTCAGCTACTGACAACTCTGTAAAGCACAGCTGGACTCGGACACACGGAGTTGCCATGAGTAAAAAATGAGTTATTGGCAACTGTGTATAGACACACACACACACACACACATATATACTGTTCTTGTTGTTAAGTGCCATCAAGTTGGTTCTGACTCATAGTGACCCTGTATAGGGTTTCCGAGGAATAGCTGGTAAGTTTAAACTGCCAACCTTGAGATTCAAACAAACCTTGTGGTCTAGTGCTTATCCTACAGCGCCACATCAGGACATATATATATATATGTTTGTATATGGAGTTCTGGTGTAGCGCTGTGGGTTAATGTACCAGACTGCAAAGCCGTTTGAACTGCAAGGTCGGTGGTTCAAGCTTACCAGCTGCTCCTTGGAAAACCATACAGGGTCACTATGGGTTGGAATCGACTCAATGGCATGTAACAACAACATATATGTATATAAGGAGCTCTGATAGCATAGTGGTTATGAGTCAGGCTGCTAACCTCAAGGTTGTTGTTGTTGTTGTTAAGTGCCGTCGAGTCGGTTCCGACCCATAGCGACCCTGTACAGGGTTTCCGAGGGTGTTAGCAGTTCGAAATTACCAGTCATTCTGCGGGAGGAAGATGAGGCCTTCTGTTCCTGAAAGATTTACAGCCTCAGAAACCCTATAAAGGGTCGCTGAGTCAGAACCAACTCCACAGCACATATTCACCACCATGTGTGTATATATATATATTGTTTTTAAGTGCTGTTTTCAGTTCTGACTCATAGAGACCTGTAAAGGGTTTCCAAGGAATGACTGGTGGGTTTAACTGCCGACCTTGTGGTTATCAGTCAAGTGCTTATCCTACAGCGCCACACCAAGACTCCATAATACACATGAGGTTACAGGGGAAATATATACGCATGTGGTGGTGGTGTGTGTTGGGAAGTCAGTTCTAATCCATAGTGTCCCTGTATAGGGTTTCCAAGGATGTAAATCTTTACAGGAACAAAAAGCCTCACTCATCTTTCTCCCAGTATATAAATACAAGCCATTTATGTATAGTGGTTATGAATCAGGATGCTAATTTCACGGTCAGCAGATCGAAACTACCAGCTGTTCCGTGAAAAAAAAGATGAGGCTTTCTGCTCCCATAAAGATTTACAGCCTCGGAAACCCTATGCACGGTCGCTACGAGTCAGAACTGACTCCACAACACATAACAACAACAGCACACAAATATATATATATATATATATATAGAGTCCTGGTGTGGTGCTGTGGGCTAATACGTCAGACTGCAAAGTCGTTTGAACTGCAAGGTCAGCGGTTCAAGCTCACCAGCTGCTCCTTGGAAACCCTATACAGGGTCGCTATGAGTCGGAATCGACACAACGGCACTTAACAACATATATATATACACACACATATATACATCCTACAGCATCACACTAAGAGTCTACTCCCATGGACTCTTGGTGTGGTGCTGTAGGATCAACATTGGACTACAGACCACAAGGTCAGCAGTTCAAACCCACCAGCTACTCCTTGGGAACTCTATGCAGGTTGCTATGGGTCGGAATCGACTTGATGGCACTAAACAACACCGCCATGTGCCAGTTATCTGCCACTTGCTCCAAATCCAAATCCAACCCCTTCCATGGATTCATTCTCTACCTTTGTGCCCCAAGTGGCCCTCCCCTGGGAACTCCAGCACCCATGTCCCTCATTCCCTCTGGCATGTGATTGGGTTCAGCCAATTGGAGGCTGTGATAGGAATTAGAACGGGAGGACAGGGAAGATGCGGTTCCCTGCTCCGGAGCCAGCTGCAGTTGTGGGACTACCTGTGGCCCTCCATGGCTCCCTCCAGGCAACACTTGCTCACACCCGACTCCTGCAACTCAGTTCCCCTCCCCTACTACATCAGGTCCAGGGCTAGTAACAGTTTCCTGCTGCGGTCAGACAGCAGCCCTGTCACTGGTTCCTGAATAGTAACTCCACCCACATCTGTGTGCAAAGTCCTTTCAGGAGCTGCTCTTCCAAAATCCCATAAAGGTGCCTTTTGTTTCCTCCTAGGACCCTGACCGATACACCCCTGTACAGGCATTGTCGTCCTGGCAAGTTTTCATAAAGGGAGTCCGAACGCATGATGCCTTTTCATGGGCTCCTCCTCCCCGTCATCAAATAAAACACCACAAAGCCAGGGGATATCATTCAATATTTTATATAAGAAAAGATCAGTTTTTCAACAGTTATTTCACTGAAGGAGTGCACAGCGTTTGCATGAACGACCTCTGGGCTACATCAGTACAAAATCATTTAAATTAGTAAAACAAGCTTTTTCAAAGGGAAAAGTCATTGATATCTTCAGGGTAAGTACCACCATCACTTGGGAACAGGAGCCATACGAAAGCAGCGTGGTAACAGGCAGGCAGGCTTTCCTGTGGCAGAGAGAGACCCCAGCAGCCTTACCCAGGCTACAAATGAATGGCAAAAAAAAGCTCATCTTGCTGATCCTCAGGAGCTTACCTGCCGGGCTACGTGTCTGCCACCATGAAATGTAGCCCGCAGCCTCAGGTATCTGCCTAATCAAGCTCACTGAAGGAGGGGCCGAGCAGAACACAGTGAGTAAATGAGTCAAGCAGATATCTATGTGACAGATGTAGAAACGAATTCTCTATTGTGGCTCACGACCCCTTTTTGTTGGGACTCCTGGTTTTTCTGTCCAGGAGAGTCTCTTAACCTCAAATTCACATTGCCAATTGTAGGGCCAAGAATGGGTATGATTAACTGGAAAAGCAAAACCTGCCAGTTGGGAAGACCAGACATCACCAGTGCCTTTAAGGTCAATGACAAAGGTCACAGTTGCTTTTTGGGAATCTTGCAGGGCAGGCCTTTTGTTATCCTTGCACATCTAGAGGATACTTTAAAAACACTAGTGTTAAGGGGGGAAAAGAAAACCAAAGTAACTCTTTTTACAGTCATATTTTTACTCTAGACATATTTTTTTCCTGTACCATCCAATATGGCTGTGACCCTTGTAGGACATTATTTTCTTTTAATAAAATAGTGCCCCAGAAAGTTCCCAAAGCAATCTGAGGTTGGCAGCCTTTTCCATACTTGATATGTCCCATGCTAAGGCACTTCACACTGATTTCGTTTGGTATTACTTGCAGGTGACCTAAGATCCTCACCCTATGTATCGACCCAGCCCTGATGTATGCACCAGGTACCATGTGACCCATCTACTGCTTGCTAATGATGTACTTCCTGAGAGATCCTCACACCACCCTGGGTATTCTGCCCCAACAGGTGGCTTGATGTCACGCTCTCCCTGGCACCACTGGCCCGTGCCGAGCTTAGAGTTCATCGTGTTTGGTCTCCTGGTCTTTTAGTTTAAATTCCTCTGCTGTGACCTTCCCATCTCCATTCCGGTCCTGGTTGGTGAACATATTCTTCACAATCATGTCAGCATCAAAGCCAGGTGCCAGTTTTCCTTTACCAGATGCCACCTGGGCATGAATGTATTCCGAGAACTGGAGAGAGAGGGAACAGGGCAAACGTGAGATACAGCCATCTGAGAAGGCTGGGCTCAGGGCCCAAGACAGAGCAGCCTGAGCTTCAAGGGGCTGGAATTTGAATCGCAAACTAACAGAACAGACAAAATCATCTTGTATGCTATACAGCCTGGGTTTTTTTCCATCACACACACACATACACACCACACCAGTTGCCACTGAGTCAACTTTGACTCATGGTGCCTCCGGGTCTGTCAGAACAGAACTGCTACACAGGGTTTTCAATGGCTGAATTTTCACAAGAGGATTGCCAGGGCTTCCTTCTGTGGTACCTCTGGGTAGTCTAACCACTAACCTTTAGGTTAGCAGCTGAGCATATTAACTCTTTCCACCACCCAGGGCCTTTGCCTTTTTCTCCATGTGCAGGTTCAACACTCCAAGAGCTCTTTGGATCCACCTAGCCAATTGACAACAGCCATCTAAGCTATTCCTTCTCCCCAAACCATTATTTTGTTCCCCACCAAAGGCTGACCACCTAACCACTCTGGCCTCTGAAAACATTGATGGATCCATCCATTCACGTGTTCTTTCATTTATGACCACAATAAAAACCTACTGTGTGTCTATTATGTGCCAAGCACTAACCTAGATTCTTGGGAGAGCTACTTCAATAAACAAACAGAACAAACATCTTGGTCATGTAGTACTTACATTCTAGTGGGAAAGACAGAAAACTGAAACCAAATGTTAACAGACAGATAAATTGTATGCTAAGTTAGAAAGTAAAATGCTGCCCCAAATGAAAAAGTAGATCCAAGTAAGTAAGAGCAAGCGTGCAAGTGAGAAGTGGGTTGGTGCATTCTATTGGGCAGTCAGAGAGAACCTCAATAAAAAGGGGAGACTTGTGCAAAGGCTCAAAGAGGTGAGGGAATGAGCTGAACAATTATCTGGGGGAACCATTTGCTGAGCAGAGAGTACCGCTGATGCAAAGGCCCAAGGTGGACATACACCTGGTGTGTCTACAGCACAGTGAGGGGAAGCGTGAGGTAGGCTGAGCAAGAAAAGAGGCAAAGATGGATTACAGCGAGCAGGTCACAGAGAGTGTGACAGGCCACTGTAAGGACTTCTGAAAGGGGGAGCCTCTGCAGGGCTCTGAGAGAAGAAGGGGCACATGATCAGATGCTGGCTGCTGTTGGGCTGCGGGGGAAAGCAGAAAGATCGTAAAGAGGCAACTGTAGCAACCAAATGAGAGAGGACCAGCACTGGACTAAGTGTGGAGTAGAGACGGAGAGTAGTGGTCAGATTCTGGATGTATTGTCAAGGGAGAGCCAGAACCATGTTAGGATGGATTTCAAACTTCGCTCTAAGTTACTAAGCCTAAAGTTTGGCAGTTCAAACTCACCTAATCATCTGCCCAACATTACAGCCCAGGAAACTACTCTGTACCACATGGTGTCACCACGAATAGGACTCGACTCCAGGGCAATGGGTTTGAATCTTTTTGGATTATGGAAGAAAGAATCAAAGATCATTGAGTGCTCTCACATGAGCAACTGAAAGGCTGGGATTGGCACTGATTGTACTGGAGAAGGCTTGGGTGAAGCAGGCTTGGTGGGGGGGCTGTGCATCAGGGGTTCTATAAATGAAGATGTCAAGCAGACAGTTGGATAAGGGAGCATCAGTTGGAGAGAGAACACTGGACTGGGACTACACATTTGGAAGTTATCAGTATACTGATGGAAAAATCCTGGGACAGAATGAGACCACCAAGGGAATGATTGAAAACTAGAGAGGAGAGGAAGTTCAGACATAGCTGGGGACACTCAACGTGGAGAGGTCAGGGAGAAGAGGCCTGAGAATGAGGTAGAAGGGAAACCAAGACAGAAAGTGAACTGCAGGGGAGTCAGCTGGGTTGAAGTAAGAGGAGAACTGAGAACAGTGTTTGCACTGAACAATATGGAGGCCCTGTCACCTGAGGAAGACCAGGTTCAGTGTTACAGTGGAACAAACACCTGATAGGAGTGGGTTTAAAAGAGAAGAAGGATCGAGCTGCTGAGGACTCTAGGCCCATGGACTGAGAAAGGTTGTGTGCCTGCGAGCAGGAGACTGCCTTGCAAAATGGGCCCTATAGACACTTTAAATGAATACATATTTTTTGTTTTGTATGTGTACACCAAAAGTTTTTGTTTTGTTCATTTGTGAAAAATACGATGTAAATGGGAAGTCGCATGGTGGAAGCAGGGAGAGAAGTGCAACCAATGAAGTGAAACAAAACGTATGATTGGTTGAAAGTTAAAAGGTATGATGGTTATGGGTGGTGGGGAAGAGAAATTATTCACAGGCTCACAGGCTAGAGGTAGACACATGTCAACATGGTTGATAGGAGGCAAGATAGAAGAAGGAGGAAAGATGTAGGTAGTGGGGAAACGGGAATGTAGTATTAAGGCAAAGAGAGGCCACTACTATGAACTGTTGGTACAGGGAAGGGATTACAACCATTTAATGAAACAAAGTATATGGCTTGTTGAATGTAAAACTGATGACCTACTCTGTAAAACGTCACTCAATTCACAATAAAAAGTAAAAAAAAAGAATGACCTATACTACTGTAATGGTGGACACATGACATCATTATATATTTGTCAAAACCCATAGATTGTACAACACAAAAAGTGAACCCTCATGTAAATTATGGGTTCACATTAATAATAATGCATTCATGTTGGTAAAAGGAGCAAAAACAAGAAATCACCAGAAAGAGGGATCAAGAGAAGGGAAAATAATAGCATGTTTGTCAATGGGGGAAATTGATGAAATAGGAAAGAAAGGAGGTTGGAGTAACATCCTAGAATGGTCAGGAGTGGAACAGGCAGAGACTGTAAATCATCAAGGCTTTGTCCAGACAAAAGACTGTCTTGCCCAATGCCAGGAAGGGGCATGTGGTAAAAGAGAAACAACATGGATCTAGATGATCAAAATGCGGGTGTGTGTGTGTAGTGGGGCTGAGGAATGAAGGGGGTGTATCCTTCCTCACTCAAACCACTGAGTAACTGTGTGTCCTTGGTAAGCCATGTACTTTCTCTGTGCATTTCTTATTCTGAAAAACAGGCATAACTAAGAAGACTGACCAAGACACTTCAGGGGAGAATACTCAGCACAATGCATATACCCAGTGGGACCAATGTCTGGGAACTGAGTACTAATGGTTAAAACCCTTAGAATGATTGGCTCGATTTCTCCAAAGAGGAATTGTGAGCTTCAAATTAGAGTGTATGTAAAAGCACTGGGTACATGAGTGTGTTGTCATCGTCTCACTATCGGACAGTTGTCTTCCTCACATTCAGAGTGGGCCCTGGGTCCCAACTAGGAGAAGCTCCCTGGGCACTATCAGCCCTACTGTCCTTCATGGGCCAATTACCTCTTCAAGGAAGACCTCTCCATTGCCATCCTTGTCAATTTCTTCAAAGAGATTAGGGGACACTTCGTCATTCCATATGAACATGTACCCTTCAGGCAGGCCGGCCACCAGCTCCAGCAGCTCAATGTCAAACACCAGCACGGCACTGCCCGGCACTTCTCCATCTGCAACACCACAGGGCAGTTAGGTAGGGTGAGGAAGAGTGTCAGCATGGTAACCAGACTCATCTCGGCCACCCCTCTCCCCAATCTAGAGCTCCAGCTGCATCATGAATGCAGCTGTTTCTTATGAAAGCAAGATAATTTAGTGTAGGCAAGTAGGTTTTCTAAACAGTTGTTGATGGTTGTTAACTGCCATCAAGTCAGTTCCAACTCATAGCGACCCTGTATAGGGTTTCTGAGGAGCAGCTGGTGGGTTTGAACCACTGACCTTTCAGTGCTTATCCTACAGCGTCACACTAGACTGTTCGTAGTGATCTATTAATGAGTCATGAAATCAGTTTGGGTTAAAGAACAGAATATATGAGGATGCACTACACAGGCATTTCATGAAATTGTCTACATAAAGTAAAATGTGTATTATCAGGGGTCTGAATCAGTTCAGCCTGGTTCAGTCATGGTCACTGCAGTCAAACCAGAACGGATCCAAATTTGTAAAATGTGGGTGTACTGGAATGATAAACAGAAGAGGAAACATGACTGGTTGCAACCCCAGAATGGGAGACTCAGAAGAAGCTTAGTGAGGCCTTTCAGGACTCTGATGTAGGAGACAGGGGTATTTCGGGGACCCTGGAAGACAAGAGACACTGAAAGTGGCACAGCTGCCATTGGTGAACTAGGAACCATTGTTTCTGACTCTCCTTCTCAAGAGATTTGGAAGCTTTGTAACACACACACCATGTTCTAGCTGTACGTTTCTCAACACAGATATGTCGGTTCTTCTGGAAGTCCATGGTACTTTTAATATTCTTCTCCAACACCATAATTTAAATGCATCGATTTTGTTACAGTCTGCCTTACTCATTGTCCAATTTTCAAATGCTTATGTGGCTATTGAAGGAGCTCTGGTAGCATAGTGGTTACGAATCAGGTTGCGAACTGCAAGGTCAGCTGTTCGAAACTACCAGCGATTCTGCGGGAGAAAGATGAGGCGTTCTGTTCCCATAAAGATTTACAGCCTCGGAAACCCTGTACAGGGTCACTATGA